TTTGCCCATTTCACAATGAAATCCTTCCCCACCTGTTTCTCCTTATCATATTTTCTACCAGATGTATCTTACTATCTGTCTATAGGTTTGATTTCTTTCTCGGGTCTTTTCATCTTATCGCAGCCTCCTTGTTTTACTGGGCTGCTTTTTCCTCGCTGCCATCTAATCTTACTATTCATCTTCAACATTCACAGATTGTCATTAAGGTAACTCCAAGTGGTGTCATTTTTCAGCCGTCAACATCTACTCGGGCTGACTGCAGGAAGATAGTATTGGAGGAGAAGGAGCTGGAGTTGCTGAGGTGGGATGGCAAGAAGGAAGGGAGCGGGCATTCTGGTGATGCTCAGAAGCGCCTTTGCTCGCTGTCCCATTCGACGCGCCTTTTTCTTCCGTGCCGCTTTCGCTGAGACCAGGGAGGACAGAAACCTGGCAAAGGGAACCTAGGAAACCGGCGGCTGCCTCCTCCCGTTGTTCTCCCTCAACAATACCTCGCTTGCCGGTTCTAGGGGGAGCCCTTGTACGGTGGAGGCGCGCGAAGCCGAGTCTCAGAGCAGACTTGCAGGCACTGGCAGATATAGGCCTGCTTCACTCTGCAGGGCAGACCACAGCAGGCGCATCACCTCGGGGCCTGCCAGGTGCAGTGCGACCCACCCAAAACGGCCCCTTCTCCCGGAAAGGCCTTGCCCCTCCAAAGGTACAGAGGAGCCGCCGAACTCAAGGCGTCTATCTACTGGGGAACTCGATTACACCAAGTCGACGGAGACGCTGAGCTTTCTAATAGGCATATTTGGCATGACTTCCGAGGAATGGCGGGCTGCTAGTGGCTTTCCTGGCAGTAAAATCGCCACGATCCCCTCTGCACCCTCCCCATGCCCAGATACAGGTGCGCGCTCGCGGCAACGTCGAAATTCGGCAACTGTCTTCCTCTCCGAAGTTCCCTTGGCCAGAAAAGAAACTTACGGAGGGGGGCTCCAGTTAGAACCCCCTTCCATTCAGCGTCATTAACAACTAGTTCGCACGCGCCGCCGGCCACTCCATTTCGCCCGGGGATCGTTCGATTCCTCGGTAAACTCGTCCTTTGCCTTTTTCTCTGGAGCCGAGGCGAAAGCGCTGTTGTTTTGGAGCCCCGTAAATGCGAGGAAGGGAGATCGATCTGCTGATTTCTGAGAGCCTCTTTCTTCCCATTCAGATCAGAAATCGTTTCTGGGAGGGCCGAATTGTGCAGGCGTGTCCGAGAAGGGGAACGCCGAAGAGATCTTTGAGCTTCTCTGGGTATGCGTTTGGATGAAAGAAAACAGATAAGGACGGATCTTTCTGTTGGGTGACATCAAGAATTATACCCTGATCCTATGCCAATTGCTCAAAAGTTCTGTTAAGTGGAGTCAACAGTCGCGAGAAAAGCACGAGCGAATGTGTTTGGAGACAAATGGAGAATGCCCACTCCTTCCCTCGAGGCCTGTGCCGTCCTCGGAAAGCTCTCGGTTCAAAACGGGGCAGATCTGCAGTCGAAACGTTTGTAGTGGTGTGCAGAGGGTGGCGGTTCCGCCAGTCGGCAGGTCAGCTCTGCTCCCAACAGAGCTTCTGGGAGAACAAGAAAGCGGGCGCGTGTGTCCGAGTACGCGTGCAAGCTCATACAAGACGCCCCTTTAAGAACGAAGCGAGTGCGCCTGTTTCTGCGCAACTCGTTTGGACGCAGCTGTTTCGGCGCGTGGACAAAGCGCGGGCCGTGTAAAACTTGGGTTTTTAAAAATGAGTGGTGCCTATTGGAAGGCATTGTGACTGAGATTCTGGGCACGCTTACTCAGGAATAAGCCCCTCTGGCCTTCGCTGGCCTTACTCAGGGTAGGCCCCCACAGGATGCACCAAAGTGAGGGGCGCGTGTTAAGGAGAGCGCCCCAAGTGGGCACAGATTAGAGAGATTGGACACCCGGGCCCCAAGAATGAGTGCGGAGAACGGAAATGAGAATCATTCATTAAAGCCCGAGGATTTTAACCGGCCTCTCAAGCACTTTTCGAAAGTTCCGGTCCGCAAGCGTTCTCATACTAGAACTTCAAATGAAACACACCCAATAGACAGACTTCTCCTCTAGAAATGATAAAAGACCCGAAAAATGCACAATTTTGGCTGGCTGGTGGCCTGTGCGTGCGAAGTTCGATTCTTTCTGGGAGAGAATTGACCCGGGACCTATGCAGGCTCCCTCCAAAGTTGAAATGGCTCGATTTTTTTCCCCTTATTCAAGACCGTTTAAAAACAAGAAAACAAAACCACAACACAATCGATAGTCGCACGAGTTACGCCAAGCCGTTGGCTTCACCTTCATACTCCTCTTTCTTGACCATTGCCTTCAACGGAAGAGTTTGAAAGGTACTCTCTGCGAAGGGGGCCGGGAGAAAGAAGCGTTGGAAAAGGACCTTCTGCCCGCGCGGACTTCGCCGAGTCTAGAAAAGGCCCGCGCGCGCGACGCCCCTCCCCCACCGCAAAGACGCACGGGGCCGCCGCCGCCGCCGCCGCACCTCGCTGGCTCAGCTCAGCTCGCGTCGCCTAAGCCTGGCGCCGAACCCTCTCGCCCCTTCGCGTCTCCCAGCCCGCCTCCCATTCCTTCGCCTCAGCTCTTCAACCGACCCACCCTCCGCCGCGGTGCTTAGCCTTCTCTTCTGATTCCGCGCGGCTTCCTTGCTTTTTGTGGTTGGAAGGTGAACAGCAGAAAGTTCATTTTCCCCAGCGCGGGATTTTTCTGCTTTTTTTCTCTACTGTAACGAGGAAGTCTTGCTTTTCTCACACAGACATTAGGGCGGTGGTCGTTTTTAATTGCTGGTATCATTCCCTTGTCTGCTGCTGCTGCTTCCCTCCCCTCCCCTCATGCCCTCCTCAAGCCGAGGGTATGCCCTTCTATAGCCAATTACCTAGGAATGAGCCTCAATCAGCTCAATGGGACTAAATGTGTCAGGCCGTAGCGGAGTTCTTACTTGGCCTTTTTGACCACGGAGAAAACTCAATAAATCTTTTCCTATACTTTCCTTCCCTTTCACTACTTGTGGGGCTAATTCTTCTCAGTCTTCTTAAAACGAAGGGGTGTTTTATTTGGGAGCTTTTTTCTAGACTTGCCTTCTCTCCTGGTTGTATATTGTGAGCTGGAGTTGGAGATAAATGTTTTTCCTTCCAGCACCAAATCCAGGACCTTCGTGGTCTCTAATATGTCCCTTATGTTAACAAACCATTGTCTTTTCTCCCCTTTTTAAGTTTGTTCCCCCTTCAGGATATTGTAGATAGAGTCGTCAACATTCCCCTTCTTTTTGTGAGGGGACAACTGTCTTCCTCTTTTTAATTCTTTTTTAATATCCCACTTTTAAATTTCTTTCGGAAATATTTTGGACAGTACATGGTCAGGGGGGCGGGTGAAAAGCTTCGGATTACTTATTCTTTTACAAGCCTAATAATAACTTATTCTTTCACAAAACTAATCATAACGACCTGCCACCATCTCCAAGCTACTTTCTAGTTTTCGTCGGAGCCCCCCCCCCCCGCAAAGCAACAGGTGAACCTCCGTTCTGACCCCAGTTCCAGCTTTTCTAACAGGCATTAGGATCAGCACGATTAATAGCTTGTTATACAATCCCCCCCCCCTTTTCGGCTTGCTTAGATTAATTGTAAGGACCAGGGTCTCAAGCATATTGGAAAAATGAGTTCTGCGATCCTATGCAGTCTCTTTGGAAGAAAGTTCCACTGCGTCCAGTGAAGAATCCCCCTTAGATTTTCTTAGTAACGGAGTTATATTTATTTACAATGGATTACATTCTTACAACCCGAGTGTGCTCCTGTTTACTCGAGAGTAAGTGTCGCCGAATTCAACGAGGGCTATTCAAATAATTGATAAGGTTGAATCTTTAGATATTTTTCTGGTTATATACATGTGTGTTTTACGGAGTGAGGATTCCATCAAGTGGGGAACAACCATAGAATATTTAGGAATTACTGTTTTTAACCTTAAGAAAAATGCACCAGTTTCCATTCTTCGCTATAGTACCCCAAACTAAATCAAATAGAGCTTCCATGATTCGAGGCAGTGTACCTCTGTTACTATAACTAGACATTTAATCATTGTCCATTGTTTCTATACCTGGTCCTTCTGAGATAATTGCTTGTCCGGAGAATAACAACATAACCTCTGGGCCTGATCCTGCTTGAACAATTTTTAAGTTTTCACCTCTTAAAAAGGTGAGGTAGTTATGCTCTCACTTTTGTCTGTTCGTTATCGCTGTTTTGCTTTTTAATTGTACGGCAATTTGCTGGCAACTCTATGAAGAGCACTCATTTGCAGTGATATTTGACTTCTTGTTACATTTTACGCTCTTTCCCTTTTTCTCTACTCGCCCCTCCCTTCTCTTTAAATTTCCCTCCTGGCTTTAATTGATTTTTTTAAAAGCTTACTGAACACTTTCTTTCCTATCAAGTCTTTTTACTCCTCCAGCGTGCCTTTCCTTTTTCTGCGGTCACTCCTGGGCTGTTGCGCGCCTTTACGCACGCCTCTCTCCCTCCCCGTCTTTTACCACTCCGCCTCCCTCCGGAGGAGCAGCAGTGTGTGCCTGGTGCCTAGGAGGGTAACCCCCTCTTCTCCCCCCCACCACTGGCCATTGGCTTGCCCTGCTACGGCTCCCCCCCTCACTCTTTTGCTTGATCATGTCCAGCCCCCGATGACTGTCCATTGGCGTGGCGCACAGCTTCCCTCCTCCCCTTTCTTCCAGTTTCGCCCTGCCCATGTTTTGTATGTCTCTGTCCATCCAGCCGCTTGACGTTCAAGTTCGTAGGGACGTCACGTCCGCACTTGAACTTGCAGCTCAGGGGGGCTTTTGCCATTTTTTTCATCTCTCTCTCTCTCTCTCTTCTTTTTCCCCCCTGTCTGTTTCTCCCTCTCTTGCACAGAAAGGAAAAAAAGAAAAAGAAAAAGCCATGACTGCTATCCCACAATTCATCTTCCCCGCGCCATCTTTGTATTATTTCTAATTTATTTTGGATGTCAAAAGACATTGATGAAGGTATTTTCTCTGGAGTCTCCTTCCTTGCTCACCCGGCGCTTCCCGATGTGATCCGAGCGAGAGAGCTCCGTGCGCGCCCGCCCGAGCAACCAACACCACAATGTCTCGCCGCAAGCAAGGGAAACCCCAGCACTTAAGCAAACGGGAATTTTCGCGTAAGTAAACCACCTTGCCGCTCTGCCTTTTACCTTTGAGCACTCTCGCTTGCGAACTAACAGTAATAATTCAACTATTTTTTTTTTATATTTTGCACATTTTTAATCTTTGTGCATGCGTCTTTTTAATGCATTGGAAGACAAAAACGCAACTCACCTTAAAACTCAGGCCCCTTGCCCCTCCCTCTTTTTTTGCATCGCTAGCACCTTCAGTACTTTTCAGAGAAGGTCCTTCTGTTCTTCGTTGCTTACGGCCGCTCGCTCGCTCGCTCAAAGTTCCATTTGTCTCTCCTCCCCCCCATTGATTCTTCTATAGATATTTTGCCGGAAGAGAGCGTGTCTGGGTGCGCGCGCCTGCAGCTTACAAATGAATTGCAACTTAAGAAAGCACGCAAAGACACACATTTTTTTTTTTTTTTAGCAGAGAAGAGGCAGGCGGCTTAAAGGAGGGGATGAAAGTACGGAAGAAAGCGGTACATGTGTGTGTATGTGTGTGTGTGGCTGAATCAGGGCACTTTCTTTATTTTCACGCGAATAGATTAGGTGCTCTCCGGGCGCCTTGTCGTGTGGCGACTCTCCCTTTTTTCAAATCCGCTTTGCTCATTCCTTGCAAATCTCCCTTTTTTTAGATAGGGGTGAAGGGGGGACCATTTCTTTTGTCTCCACCATCAAGATAGGGGTGGTGGCGGTGAGAGATCGCCTACCCTTTTCTGCACGTCCCGCTCCTTTTTCTTTCTTTCTCTCTCCTCTCCAACTCCGCACCGGGAAAGGGCAAGGAAGGGGGCAGACGCGTTGTCTGTTTTGGCCGGAGATCGGCTGCTTTTCTCTTATTCCACAGCCGCGATTAGCTTTTCTCCCCTCCCCCATCAACTGCCTACTCTTACCAACCTCATTTTACCCCCTCCTTTTCTCTTTCCGTCGTTAAGCCCCCAAACTCTTGCTTTGCAGAAACTTGGGTTAGCTTGCGTACACCTAAAAATGTAAGAAGGGTCGGATTGTGTGGATATGCATGCGTGTGGAATTCCCCTCCTTTCTCTCGTACTATTTTTTGGAAGATTTTCAAAAAAAAAAAAAGTGGAAGTGGATTTTGATTGGGAAAAATCTCGTGTCTGACTGTTTACAAGCGCCGCGTGTGCGAGTCTCTGCCAGCAAAACAGGCTAGGAGAACAAGCGTATTGGAAGGAGAAGAAATTCGTACAACGCATATACATGCACATATGCAAGATTTTGTAGATGTTATAAAAATAAATACAGGCTTAGGTGCAGTTATGGCAACTCTGATCACAAGAAAGGGAGCACCAGTCTCCCCTAAACAAGTAGAACTTCCACCTCAGTAATTGCATTTTGATGTAAAGATTGTATTTCCTTTTTATTTAAACAAAACGGATTTTTTTTGCAATGGCTCGGTTTCGTCTTTCAGCCTTCCAGGCATGCGGTGTACAAAAGCTCGAGCAAAGCGGTGCTTGCTTGCAAACACAAAAGGGAAGTCTGGTCTGGACTTGAGATGGTTGAAGGCGGGCGGGCAAAGTCGAGGAGGGGGGGGAGGAAAGAAGAAAAACATTAAATGTATAAGTTATATTTGCAAAAGAGAAATAAATGGTCTTCCTTGGGCTGTTTTGTTACCATTTCCCCTTTAATTTTCAAGATTCATATGCTTTTGGTTTTTGCAAAACTTTGCATTTTAGCCGTCAGTGGTCCTGCCAATAATCGCTGCTTGCAGTGCAGTGCAAAATAACATCCGTTTAGCAACACGAATGCTTAATTAAAATAGCCAACTAATGAAATATCGCTGCCCCTTCATTTTCATGGATTATAGTTGTTTTTTCAAATAAATAACTTGCGCGTTGCTTTTCTGCCCATTCCTGCAATTATTTTGTTATTTGAAATGCAAAACCGTAGTTTATTGCAACATAACTGACACACTTTTGAACATGCTATCACCTTCCAAACACGTTGCAAGATTCTTTCTCCCTCCCTTCCTTCAGCCAAACTGATAACCTAATTTGACTCTTATCTGAAATGAGAGGTAGGGGGTGGGGGAAGGTGAAGTGGCTGTTTGGAGGAAAAGATGCCCCTTTTCCAATTGTAAAAGCAAGATTTGTAACTATATTCCAGTCTCTGCTCCACATTCACCGGCAGAATACTTGAAAATTAGCCCCCCAAATAAATATACAGAGAAGTATAAGTTTTTGTTTAAATAGAGATTTGTGGTGTGTATCAAGGGATCAGTAGAATTCTTATAGAAGTTTATTTTTTCATGTCTTCTTCACCTTGTCTTGGGGAACAAAATGAGAGAATGGGGCATAATGAGATTATAGCAGAGAGGGCAATTTATGTGAGTTGGGTTAAAACAATTCCCCCCCTTTCCGTATAATTTTTTAATTTAAATGTGAATTTTAGCCACTAGGAGGCAGAGTGAGATCAAGAAAGCTTAGTGAACTTGAACCTGATCCTTTTGCTCACACATCTTTTAATTTTCTATATTTTTCATTTGGCATAGGAAGGTGGGGTGAGATTTCTGTGTATTTATGTATATGCTGCTTGTATGTGTTCAGATATTCTCCCTTCTTTATCTTCCACTGTTCCTCTATAATTCAGCTCCTCCTTTTTTGCTTTTAATTTTGTTTGCTGTGTGAAGTTTTGGGAAAGGACTGTAACATTCAAATTATTCTTTTACCAGATTCCCTCCCATATAGAATATTACAGTTAGTGCTTTTCATCTTGTCATTATTTCCCCCCCCCCCAAGGAATAGTTCTCCTGTTCAGAAAGACAGCATTAAAATAATTATTAAATGATCAAGTGCACTACTACATAGTATTTGATTATTCATACAGCAACACAAAACAAACTGAGAAAGGCATCCCCTCTTAGCATTTAGAAATAGTGTTTCCTAGATGGCACCTAATTTTTTTGATAAAGAAAAAACTGCAAAAATTCAAGGGTATTAAATTTCTTTCCAAAGACTTTTGGGTGCTTTGGCTTAACTTGCAGAGCATCTGCTTTTGTTTGGGTGGCTTGGTGAGGGCTGTTATTCATTCAGTCTCAGTCCTATTAGAAAGCTTATTTTTGCTTTTGAAAATCAATTGGTTTATTTTGTTTTTAATGTAGATCTCTAAGAGAACAGCTGGCTGAAGAGGCAAGCAAATATTTTGGCTCCCTTGCAAGTGTTACTAGATGAGGTTTCTGAAGCTAACCTATATTCCCCCCCTCCAGTTGTGTTTTCTGCTCCTTCCCAAGTTTACATCTATCCAGATGTTCGTTCACCTAAATGCTATTACATTTTCTTTTTTCCTTTCTTTCCTCTTTCTGTTTTTGAATACCATTCTTTACTCTCCCTCAGCTTCTGTTAAACTAATCCACTTGAATGCAAAGTTGAAACTGAGCTGTTGTTTCAGTTTTAACTATTTTGCCGGGTAGGAAGGGAGAAATATATGTTTAATTGCCCTGCATTATTTTGACTCAAGTTTGATTGCTTGTTCCATCTTAATTCATATTTCAAAAATGAAAGACATGTTTTCTACTATAATCTGGAAAATGTCTCCCTTGGCATTTCTGCTTCTGTACACTTTCTTCTTCCTCCTATTCTTTGTAAAGAAGTAAAAATCTGTGGCACTAGTGTTTTTAATTAAAAACTCCACCTTCCTTTTAGGTTGGCCTTTAAACGAGAAAATACAATCCCCCTTTTTCATTAATGATAGATTAATTTAAACAGAAATAACAGACAGATGAAATACAAAACAGTGGTGGCCAATAAATTAGAAACACAGCATATCATGCAAATAATCAACAGCAAGGATGATAATACATTAGTCTTTGAATTGCAGACATACTTTTAATAATAGCAGTACACTTTTGCCCTGCATTCTGTATTTTAGGAAACCGTTTTTGAACAAATTCAGTGTACTAGCTCTTGCTCATTTATTGTTCTATCATTATTCTTGATTAGCAATCATTTCTATTAAATGCATAAACATTTGGAGGATATGGGTTTTATATCTGCACATTTTAATATCTTATTCTTAAGAACCTTGTATCTTATAAAATTAATTGGATGAATTGCTAAGGTGCAATCAGCAATACTTTTGAGTTTTACTTGATTCTTTTTTAGTGAAAACGCAGGGCAATTTATAGTCAACTTTATAAGAAATCATTTCCCCCAACCGTTATTTAGTATAAATTTTAGCTACTTAGTAAAAAATGTTTTGTGTTTTCTTGCTAAACCGACTTACTGATTTCACAATTGTTTTAGGCCCTAGTCTTATAGTTTGACTAATTACTCCTTAGAACTTCCTGTTTTATAGAAAATGCTTTTCTTCTAGGATTGGGCTTTTGAAGCTCTCATGGAAAAATATTTCAATACTTTCAAGATAGAGTGTGCTGAGACAATTTGTTCTTGTATTTGTTGCCTGCCATTTTGCTAGAGCGAACTAGTAGAGGAAAGTAGATAACTGTAAAATCACTCATAGTCCCAATTTCCCCCTTGACTATTAATCACTAACTGGTATTACTGCATTATTTTTGGTCAAGAGAGCTTAAGTGGAACCCTATGGCCTGAAGATATTTTAATGTAAAAATAATGTTATGTTTTTATAATCATTATTACTGTATATTTAGGAGTAAACTTGGAGACAGAAAATGTGAAAGGAGAGATTTGCAGAATTGTTGTTTAGAAGGAGCTATGACATCCTAAAATTATATTCCCTTGCACATATGGGAATTTCTTGAGATCTCTTAACCAGTATGGATAGTTCAGAAACAAATTTAATCTGAGTATACTTAAAAAAATACTAAATCTATTCCAATATGAGTCAGTCAAATTAAAATCTATTTTTTGATTCTCTGTGGCTTTAAATTCATTAAATGTGAAATTGGCCATATACTAAAGAAGGTCAAGCTGATTAACTATTGAGGTATTGTGTCCTTTCACTTCTTAACTGGTAGCTTTTGATATTTTGCAAGAATGCTATTTCATGTTTGTTTATAGGTGAAAGTACTGTACGGTGAAATTACATCCCAAGCTGAATTTTTCTTCTCCCTCTCTTTCAATCTCTGTGGAAGACTGAAATCATGAACACTTTCTTCAAAAAATACCTTAATAGAAAATAATAGTGGGATAAAAAGCTAATTGCTTTATCTACCTTGTTAAAATACCTATTGGTATACTGCTATATAAACAGAATTTTAGTGGAGCTTTCTTGAGCTTGTTCAGCAAATTAATCAACTTAGACAACGTTAAGAAAGGTGCTGTAAAGAAAGGACTTGGGTGCTGAATGCTGGAATTTAGTCATCTTTATACTAATATTTATACCTTATGAAAGCCCTCATTACTAATACATTCTGAATAAATGAAACACATTTCTCCTAAATGGGAAAAAGGACTAATTTAGTTTATTTTCCTAGATGTTAATTGCAACTGGAAATTTTCAGTAGTTTGAAGATATGTATTTGTTTTGTAAATGAAATGTTTGGTTATTGTTTTTTTAAACAATTCTTGATAAATAAAATATTGCAGATTTATCTTGTTTTTCTGTTTGCCTGAACATTTTAGAGAAGACTTCTAGGAAATTCTGTGTGCATCTGCATATGTATGACACAGAACATAGGAACATACTTAAAAACCACGGGATGTTCAGGTAATGGATGCCAACTGGCGAATGGACACAAGCAATATTTTTTGTAATTGTGTGATTATACTTACTTACATTTTTGTATGCCTGTCCAAACACTTGTTTGCATAAGTGTACCCTAAAGTAGCATATTTATTCCAACATACGACACTAACAGGGAGAAAATAAAACAAATATTATTTTGTGGAAAAAAAGAAATCGATGGGTTTACAAATAGATAGTTCTGAGGTTTACTTTTGGAGGAGGTGAATAAAGGTAGGAATTCAAATACAATTGCTTGGCATCACTGATAAATTTGTTTTCTTAGAGCATGACAGCATGCTATAAAGAAGAAGCTCTTTAGGTTTGGGACAGGAGTGACCTATTTTTTTCCTATTAACATTAATACTATAATATAATTTTAACATAGGGATGTGTAATGCATTTTGTTTTAAGAAAGGCTTTTTCATGTTGGTACTTCTGTGGATGCTCCCCTTCCCTCCCCCCTTTTTTTTGTTCAGGCACCCCAGGATATTACTAGATTAGAAATGTGTCAGTACTGCTACTCAATGTTTGGGATTTTATTTTATTTTTTGAAAGTTTGGCCTGTATTCTACAAATATACTTTCCCTCCCTCTTGATTTGTATTTGAATTCCTCATTTCCTTTGTTTCCTTTTTTGCAGCCGAACCTATTGAAGCCATTCTTACAGATGATGAACCAGATCATGGTACTTTGGGAGCTCCAGAAGGCGACCACGACCTCCTTACCTGTGGCCAGTGTCAGATGAACTTCCCTTTGGGGGATATTCTTATTTTTATTGAGCACAAACGGAAACAATGCAATGGCACTCTTTGCCTAGAAAAGGCTGTGGATAAGCCCCCTTCGCCCTCGCCAAGCGAGCTGCGAAAAATTTCCAATCCTGTGGAGGTTGGCATCCAGGTCACACCTGAGGATGACGATTGTTTGTCAACGTCATCTAGAGGAATTTGCCCTAAACAGGAACATATAGCAGGTAAATCAAAGTGATGGGGGAGGGAGGGGAGGTAGGAATGACATGCTTACAGGCTGCCCATTGAAATTTTGTTGTTTTGTAAAAAATGTTTTCTGACATTTCATTTTATCAATTCATGAATTAAATTTTCATTATTTATAGTAGGTATGCACACCTCCAGTTATCTATAGAAGCATAAAACTCATGGCATATCATGGAATAACTTTCTAGCTCCTCTCTTTCATGTCTTTCATGTTCTATACATTTTTTGACACTGGGTTGTGCTCACCCAAAGAAGAGGATGTAGAAGAGAACTAGGCTTTTCCCCCAATCTGCAGCTTTTAAAAAAGTTTCACAGTTTCCTCTTTTTATATTTACCTTACAAAAATGCCTTCACAGCAAATTTAATTCTATATCATATTTTACCGTTAAGTTTTAACATAGATTTATGGTATTAGGAAACAAAATATGATGGACAGATAGATAGCCCTATCTGCAGTGAATGTTCATGAGTGTAGAGTGACTGCCTATTGTTTTCTGTCACTGTTTCTAGTATATTTCTGTGCACTTTAGCATTCATATATTTATTGTAGGAAACAGGTACAATCCCACCACAATCATAAAAGCAAGTTCCTTATGAAGTGCAAACCTGTTACTCTTGCTTAGTTCTTATTCCGGTTCTTATTCTAGAAAGGACCCTGGAAAGTGACAACCTACAATACCTTTAAGTCATATGAAAACAAGCTGTACTTCTCAGAAGAATCCTTTCTCTCATATTTCAAAGTTGATTGAACCAATGTGTAAAATGGAGACAAAACCCAAATCTGGGTAGCTTATCCTCCCCCAGTTCTTATAGGTCATTAAAGGGCACCAAGACCTCCTGGAAATGCAACTTGCCTGCTTTAGAGTTTAGAGTTCTTTTGCTATGCCTGAAGCTTGATGGAATTGGTTGTGTAGCCTTTTTATTTTCCTTTTTAATCATAATTTTCTGCAGACTGTGGTATAAATGGGAAAGAGAAGTTAACATCCCCTGTTCCATTTTGTCTGTCATTTCATGGACTGTAATTAAAGGCAGTCCCTTGGTGAAGTGACATGGCTGACCTTGACTTTCAGATGCCATTTTCACTGTCCAGGCCAGAGTAGAGAGGGCAGTTTCCAAGGCGTGTAGGTTTGCTTATATAAAAAGTTTAAGGGCATGTTAGAAATTTATAAAGGTTGGCTTGACAGGGAAGGAGGTTGCTCTCTGTAGTCTTACCTTTTCAGCTAAATGATAAATGTCCCCCCCCCCATTGTCTGTTATCTCTGATGTGGTTTTGACAGATATGTCTTGATTTTCTTTTACGGCTTTTGCTGCTGCATGTCGCCTATATGAATGTCCAAGGCAGATTCACTTTTTGGACAGTGGCAACTTGTAATTTAAATAATATAAAATTAAATAATGGATGTTGTACGCATCAATAACAAAAAAACGGGTGGGCTGCATACTGCCTGCATGTGTGTATGTTTTTTTTATAAAGGAAGTGAAAGGATGTTTGAAGTTAATGCAGATGTGGAGAGGTCTGTTAATACTGCTAGACTATAAAGAATCATGTTTGGTGTCATAATCCAGATGGCAAACAAAAATGCTTTCTTTTGGTTTTCATGTGTGCTACCAAAATTGACATAGATCGGATGAGGGTAAGGAAAGGCCAGAATGGTTTGCATAAAGTATCACTTGCGCTATTGTTTTAAATAGCCTCAGGGATGCTGTGGTATTACGAGACACACTGTATGTAAGTCACATGCTGCCTTGTATTTAATCCTCCCTCCCCCAAATGATCTCAGTAACAAGGCAATTCACAAGCTACCTCAGTCAGCATGGTCCTGTCAGTGTTGTTGGATCTTGCAGCTGAATAAGTGGACTAAAACTGGCTTTTACTTGTCAGCTGATGGAAGTGATAAATATTTATCTTGCTATGAAATAATTAAGTTAGCTATATGTGTATTTATACACAGAGAGAAAATGATTGGTAGGTGGGTAGTAGCCTTGATATAATTGGAACAAATCAAATTTAACTTTGGTTTTAATATTTGCTTTGGCAATTTTGTATTTTATGCAATTTTATAATTCAGGTTTTGCCAGATGACTCTAGAATATAGACATGGTTTGTGTCAGTAGATTTTGCTGGTAGATTTTAATTTTGCTGGTGGAAGTTATCTACTGTATTTGCAAATGTTCTTGTAAATGAAGTCATTTTGTTGGTGAAAATGAAGTAAAAGCTCTAAATGTGATTGTTGAGCTCAAAATATCCAGTATTTTAATCTGCTGTATATTATGCAGCTTATTACAATTTTGAATTTGGATCAGGTATTATTTTGATACTGAATTTCTTGGATACAAATAATCTTAATATCTTTATCATATGAAAGTGGAAATTTCTTTCATATCATTCATAATTTTAAAATTTGTTGTCCCAATAGAAGTATGCCAGTGCTGCACCCTTACCAAGTTATCAGCAATTTTAAATCATTTTAATTCCTTTTATATCTTTGTATTGCTTGTTATTAAAAGAATACTTTTTACCTCCTAAATTTTAGACAGCTTTTTATACAAGCATGGCATTATATGCCTACATATAGAGTATAGGTCAGCTTCCCTTCTCTGAGCTTGAGCAGTATCTATGTTACAAATTATATAGCAAGTTTCTTGCATAACTCCTTTTAGAGTTACAGTTCAGAAGCAACATTGCCATTGATCCAAATTTTTAATTATCTAAGACATTCTTTGTTCCTCCCAGTCACTTAGATATATTCAGAAGTAATTTATATGTATTAAAATAATGGCAGATATATTACCTGGGCATGTGATTGGAAGTGTACGTATATATATATGATGGGGGTGAGGATAAAGCACAACTGGAACACAGTTACCTTATTTATAGCATGCATCTTAAGCTATTGTAACTGTCATGTGCTGCTCACATTCTGAACATGAAGGAGGATGTTCATTTAGTCAGAGCTTTCAAGAAGGGTTTTCTGATCTTACTGTGTACTGCAGGGATGTTAAATCGCCAAATATGGAACATCCCTTCTGTGACATAATGCACGATTTACATATTAAACATCTCTATTTTAAAGACTAAACACAGCATCTGTCAAGCAAGAATTAAGGGGGAGGATGAGCTAAAAGGCCCGCTCTGTAGATATTAGGTAGGTTGCTTAATCTAAGATGGAGCAAAACTGTGAGAAGGGAAATAATAGCTTTTTTTCAACGCATTGCTGCTGCCTTGCCAAACTCAGACTCTTTTGTATTCCTGGCACAAGTGGATCAGTATATAAAAAAGCATATTAGATTATCACCCTACAAAAGTCTGGCAAACTGTGGTTTGTGTTATTGGTGGTTAATGTACTGCTTTCATGAGAAACTGAATTTTGTGTTGCTTGGGGATTGAAGTAAGACTGAGGCTAGGGCATAGAGATGTGTCAAAATCATAAAGTGAGTTAGTTCATTGCTGAGAAGATATTTGAGTTGAAGTTTTCTTGTCCTAAGTCTGACATTCCCCTGGCCTAAAACTTGGGGAGAGATGTGTGTCACAGTTGGATGAATATAGTTTTGAAGTGTTTGCAATTGCTTGGGCTTTATGCCATTTATTGTAAGAAACTTGTTCCAGCCATCTACTTTGTTCTTTAGAAAGAGCTTATATTCATGTTTAGTCTCAGTATAAATGCAGTTACATGTGACAAATTTAATTGGAAGCCATGGAGATATTGAGCCTAATGCAATGAAAACAGTATCTATTTGGAATAACTTGCCACCATTAATCCCTTCTTCCGTTCAAAGCGATTTTCATTCTGCTATCAGCAAGTATATTTACAGCACCAAATTCCTAGGTAGCATACTTGTGGGCTTATGCTTTTAAAGCATTGGAAGGCATAAAGTTGGGAAAGAGGGAGTATATACTGCTAGCTATTCATAAGATATTGAAATGTCAGGAAAGAAATCCTTTTGTCTTGATTTAGTGGAAAAAGAGCCAGGGATCTTGTGGATATTTAAAGGCATTTAAAATATGCCTCATTCTCTAACAAAATTAGTGTAAATAGCTTTTAAGACTGTTCATGGAATTGACCATTGATGATGGAATTTTTAAATCAAACCTGAAAGTACAATAGAACTGCTAAATGTATTATTATTCAAGGTTAACAAATTTAAATAGAAAGTGAATCAACTGAATTTTAGCTAATCTGTCATTGATACAAATTTATTTTTGAAGTTATACTTATTTTGGTATGGTGCTATAATCAGGAATGAGAAAGAAACACAAAGGTTTTGCTATGGGATTGGATTTTTTTATTAGTGAATAAGTCACCTTGCACATTTAGTAAAATGGAAATGTTTTTATNATTTAATTTGTCAAGTAGATTGTTAATTCAATGAGTAACCCATTTTTTTTCAGGTAAGGGAGAAGGTATTCCTATTTAGAATTTGTGTAGACTCAACAATGTTAAAAGGATTTATTTCTGTCCTGAGAAACATGTAATCCCAAAATTGAAAATGGGACAGTTAAGGAGGCAGGTGTGATGGTGATGGATGTCTCCAGATGATGAAAGTGAACAAATATAATAATGCTACTTTGACTTCATTTTGGTTAGGGGTATGTATTTGTATGAAGGTTTCAAGAGCTTCATGCTAGTTGATATTTTAAAGGAAGTTACTGTTATCTATTACTTACTTAGGACATCATGCAAGATCATTTGTGAGATAAATCCATCCACTAGGGAAATGGATTCTACTGGGAAAAATATTTTGTTGTCTTGCATATGTTCTCCCACATTTGCCCTCCAGATCTCTTCAAGGTTTGTGAGATATTTATGGAGTGGGCTTGGAAGAAGAAATGTAAGGGTACATTAGGTTTGCTCATACTGTGGTAGATGTTACCACGCTACTTCTTTTCTGTGAATTGACAGGTGAAACAGGCACTCAGAATGTTCATTTTGCAATTAGACAAGTGAGATAACAGTTCACAGGTCTTTGGTTCTTGTAA